AATTCTTAATGGTAGATTTTTCTGGTAGAACGCCCGGAAAATCATATGACAGCCAACTTTTTGCCTCAACTGTGTTGTTTTCTTTCAAAAAGCAATATTTARTCAACAGGCGAAATTATTTTTTATCCAGTTTTTTCGCAATAACAAAGGTTATTTAACTCGAAATGATATAATTCAAAAATAAATGATCCGACAGCTGTCAAACTTATACACGCGCCTTCTGAAGGTTAGTGTCAACATACAGGGATTTTARTCTGCAGCGCCATCTATGACAGACTGGGGACTGTTTTTCCTTTCATAAATAAAACCTTTTTTTAGCCAACTTCTCGCTACAGACAAATGATTCTGAATAATGCATTTGAGGAACCAGGTATAGTTCTCTGATTTTGGGTTCAGCCCATGTGAATCTCGTCGATGAWTTRTTATTCTTAAAAATAGYCCTTAAAACAATCTRATTTCAAAAGTTTCTCAWTTCTAAGTAAATTTATTACACATGTAAATATCTACATATGTGATATATATACGCATCGACATGCCAGCAGAGCTTTTTTATGTTCGCCCAAGTAAAGCTCTGAAAAGCTAACACAAAATCTAAACCAAAAGCATTGACTTGCTGCGGGTGCTTTTATTTTGCGCATGCGCACTAACACAGCTGCATTATGGCAAATGCAAAGCTGCAATGGTACTGAACTAAACTAACTGTGCTAATAAGCTTTCAGAGGGTATTATAGCATAGTAGTTATATATAAGTATAGGTGCCACAGGTGGTTGATAGCTTTTGTTACTAGAACTACAGATAAACATTTCTCAGCAGTAATACAACTATAAATTTCTTCTCTATAGACACTTTGGGTCGCCAAGTCAAGTCACAGGATCCGAATATTGCTGCTGCCAATGCAGGCGTTAACACAGGCACACCCAGTGTTATGGTGTCCGGCGTTGCCACAGGCACAAATGATTTATGCTCACAAAATCATGTTGGCTCACAGGTGGGTCCAGACGATGGACTCATTGGCGGTCAACAAGATATGGATGTTTCGAAGAATGAAGGCACACAAGTTGGTGGACCATTACATCAGAATGTTGGCACATCCACCAAATCTACTGGCACACGCACTAAAGACTACGTCGATGATATGGTGAGTGAATATAATTGGAATTTTTATTTTAAGCTAGATTTTAAGCTAATGCTTAGACTAAGTTACTCGAGTGTTTCGTATGAATTTACTTAGTGAGTTTTTATAAGTATGCTGATATATAATGGATCTAGTAAAAATATCATTATATTTGCATTAAATTTAAGATTTTATGCAACATAGTCCGCACCTTTTTTCGATATCTTATACATAGTAATGAATTATGGTACGTTAATAATCCCACNTTCTAAGTAAATTTATTACACATGTAAATATCTACATATATGACATATATACGCATCGACATGCCAGCAGAGCTTTTTTATGTTCGCCCAAGTAAAGCTCTGAAAAGCTAACACAAAATCTAAACCAAAAGCATTGACTTGCTGCGGGTGCTTTTATTTTGCGCATGCGCACTAACACAGCTGCATTATGGCAAATGCAAAGCTGCAATGGTACTGAACTAAACTAACTGTGCTAATAAGCTTTCAGAGGGTATTATAGCATAGTAGTTATATATAAGTATAGGTGCCACAGGTGGTTGATAGCTTTTGTTACTAGAACTACAGATAAACATTTCTCAGCAGTAATACAACTATAAATTTCTTCTCTATAGACACTTTGGGTCGCCAAGTCAAGTCACAGGATCCGAATATTGCTGCTGCCAATGCAGGCGTTAACACAGGCACACCCAGTGTTATGGTGTCCGGCGTTGCCACAGGCACAAATGATTTATGCTCACAAAATCATGTTGGCTCACAGGTGGGTCCAGACGATGGACTCATTGGCGGTCAACAAGATATGGATGTTTCGAAGAATGAAGGCACACAAGTTGGTGGACCATTACATCAGAATGTTGGCACATCCACCAAATCTACTGGCACACGCACTAAAGACTACGTCGATGATATGGTGAGTGAATATAATTGGAATTTTTATTTTAAGCTAGATTTTAAGCTAATGCTTAGACTAAGTTACTCGAGTGTTTCGTATGAATTTACTTAGTGAGTTTTTATAAGTATGCTGATATATAATGGATCTAGTAAAAATATCATTATATTTGCATTAAATTTAAGATTTTATGCAACATAGTCCGCACCTTTTTTCGATGCCTTATACATAGTAATGAATTATGGTACGTTAATAATCCCACTCTCTCGTTCCTAATTGCAAGTGGATGCTGGCGAGTTACTTTATCGATAGTGTGATCCGTTGTTAAGCTGATGGAAGGCAATTCGTTTCGATTACTTCTATCGGTCCAAATGTTGACAGTATAGGTTCGAATTAAGAGTTTGTCCGCAAAGGAGGTACTCCGACTACATGATTCCCTCCCAATTACAAGAACGTATAACAAATATTTCTTGACCGCTAATCTTAGCTTAGAAACCATGGACATTCTGACGGTCCACCGGGATTCATTTCAAGCCTTTTTCATTTGACGGTCCAAAATGCGAAACTAACTGCTCACCAAAGTCTACTCTCAATAAATCGATTAGTTCTTTTCTTTCTTTTCACTACTCTAAATATGCCCATATATGTGACCTGGTCTACGAAAAGGGAGCTAACGTGCGAAAACAAGTTTTCTGGGAAACAGCTGTTAAAAATCTCATCTKCCATCCGAATCAACTAAAAAGTGAGAATTGATTTTTTGGATTTTTTGACACGTAAGCCCCCTTTCCGTAGACCAGGTCACATATATCGATTTGTTATAAGCAAAAAATCTTGTAATACGTGCATTTTGGGATCTTCCGATAAAATTTACACGCCGGTATCTCACAACAGTCTTTGAGGAATGGTCCTCAAAAAAAGGATTTTGTAAGAATATCAAAAACTGCCTGCAACGAAACYATTTAAGCTGTTTTTAGCCACTTGTGGTTTTATGTAGAACTCGTTGCTTTGAAACTG